AGGGGCTCCTGGCATCGCTACTAGGAGCAAAGAAGCTACTAGGGGCTCCCCACCTCTTTTTTTGGCGTAGTTTTTTCTACGTCTTCCAGGCACAGCGAGCTTCGCTGAGTGGAGAGGTGCGCATCTCGCGAGAGAAGATCGCAGGAGCACTGCGCTCTTGCTTCAAGGAGCTAGAAGAGGAGAGGAAACATGAAGAACGAAAGGTGAGAACTAAAATTGTCAGTAGCGACGCCAGAAGCCCCTAGAAGCGTCCTTGCTCCTGGTAGTAAGGCCAGGTGCCCCTAGTAGCTTCTTGTTACTAGTAGCTTCTTGTTTCTAGCAGTAATGCCAGGAGCTACTAGTAGCGTCCTTGCTCCTAGTCGGGACGCCCTTGTTACTAGTAGCTTCTTATTCCGGAAAAGGGAAAACACATTTGAGAATTCCAACCTAGTAGCAATGGCCTCCAACCTACTAGCAATGGCCGATTTAGTGCTTTGATTTGGCGAGGGGTAGGCAGGAAGACATTGTTGCAAGTTGGCAGCATGATCAAAGCGTCGTCAAGTCCAAAACCCAGACGCTTTAGCAGGCGCTTTCAGAATCAAAGCATTACCTTAACCTTTTTTGCCGCAAGATGATGTCAACAAGGCTTCCGTAAAGAAAGGAAGACACCAAACGGAAGGTTTAAAGTTCAACCGCAAAGTGTTTTTCACCAAAATCGTGTGTTTTTCGGTTCAGGACCTTGGGCAACGGATTCCTCCAGGCCATGCGCAGATTCTCACACGTGACCTTGCCCTGAGCCTTAGACAGCTGCAAGCACGGAAATTCCTGACGGACGCAATTGTAGGCTTTCATAGTGCTCGCGTTTGTTTACTAGTAGCGTCCATGCTCCTAGTAGTAAGGCCAGGAGCCCCTAGTAGCGTCCTTGTCGTTGGAGAACATTGGAGAACGTGACAAGTGAGGCTTTGGAGTTGGACATTGCCAAGAAGCAGCAGAGCCTCCAAGCCACTCAGCATAAAATGCGCGAAGAAACGCCTGATATGCGCTCATTGACGAAACCTCGAACGTTTGTAAACTTGGCTGCCGCGCCGCAGTCGTCCAAAGACAACTCTTTGTTTTTGCTTGAGAAGTCCCAGAAGGACATATGCATTGATTTCTGTTCTTTTCCGTTTTGGTGGAAACATTATCAAAGAGGAACTACCTGTGTTTTTGCATTGCTTCATGGCCTGTGTCTCTAACCGGAGAGCAACCTGTTCAGTATCGATAAACCCCAACCAGATTCAGCCTTGTTCAGGTGTTGTGGCTATGGCCTCCAACCTACTAGCGATGGCCTCCGACCTAAGAGCAGTAGCCTCCAACCTAAGAGCGATGGCCACCGCAAAGGTTTTGCTAGTCACACTTTGAAAAGCGCCCTAACTACATTTGAAAGCGTGGAGGGGTTATTAGCAGCACACAGCCTATTCATACCTGAATGACGTGTGCTACTGCAGGGGGGTAGCAAGATCAGAAATGCAAACCGCTTCGCGGTGAAGCCCCAAAACTCAGTACCATCAGGTGTAGCAAGTGCTGTGGATACACCTTGACGTGACAAAATCCTTCTCAAGAGCAGAGGCTTTGCTAGTGGCTTTTGTAGCTAGGGCCAACTAGGGGCAGTGAATATCGAAAGTGCGCCTGCCTGCAGCGTTCCCATTGGTGACTAGCTTGTGAAGCATCTGGCAGTTGCCGACCGCACTGCAAGGTGTCTTGCAAGAGGATTCTACCTTTCTTTCCTTAAACAATGTGGTCAAACTAAGAGGGGGTCCGTACGGTAGTCATGGTTAAGGCTGGGTTTGAGCGAGGGTGCTCACTTCGGTCCGCAGCCAATTCGTCGCTATTTACTGCACCCAGCTGATGAGGATTCATTCTTGGATGTATTGTAAACATGGTTTTTGCGCACTCCTGCCGCAACACAGAACAAGGGACAGCCAGCGTTGGACATTTTGCCTAGTCACAGTTCAGGTGTTCAGCTTCATGTAAAGGAAACCTTAAGGAAAGCGCAAGGAACCTAATAGCGTTGGCCTCCAACCTAATCATGGCGATGGTCTCCAACCGAAAAGCGATGGTCTCTAACCTACTAGCACAAGATTTGCAAGATTTCCAAGGTCTGCTCAATGGGGTTTCCTTCCAGAGAGGGAGGCATTGTGACGATGGTGCGGCTTCAAGTTGACTTGCAAGTTACAGGCCGATGCTGTGTGAACAGCCGGCTCAAATGGGATGCCGATTTGGGGGTGCTGGTTTTGCCATCTTTAAAGGATGTCGTCGAAAGAGTGTCGGAAATGTCGAAGGATGTTTCAGACAAAGATGCTTTGATAGAGGAACTGTACAAATTTGTCTCTGCAGGGACTGAAATCTTTCAAAAAAGGTTCAGCCCTGCTCGCTACCCTGAAGTTCAAGAATGGCTTCAGAGGGGGTATCAAGTCACAGAAGTTGTTGGTACTCCTGTCAACAGTGAAAGCTGTGCCATTTGCTAAAAAAGTCAATTGTCAGTCTGTGATGCTCTGAAATGAAAGATCCAGGGGTGCTGATTCAAACCTACTCGCAATGGTCTCCAATCTAGAAGCGAAGTATAGGAAACTATGAATGTTTCTTTTTGGACAATAGCAATCTATCGCTCCCCAAAAATCTAGGAACCAAATGAATAGAAGCGTGAGCTATCCTGCGTCCATGCTAGTAGCTTCAGTAAGGTACTAGCTACCTCTCCTTTACTTGATTAAGGAGGTGCCGACTAGCAATGGCCTCCAACCCAACAACTCCACCTAATTATGCAGCTTTTGTTTCCGGCCTCTCGTTGGATCAAACCTTGCAGCCGGAGGAACACATTTTGGTGTTCGACAAAGACACAGTTGTTGGTGACATGTTGGTCGACAAAGTGACATCTTTTACTAGAGGTAACATGCATTTTGTTACTAATAGCGATGCACCTTGCTACTAGTAGCTTTTTGTTACTAGTAGTCAGGCCAGGAGCCCCTAGTAGCGTCCTTGCTCCTAGTAGCGATGCCCTTTGCTCCTAGTAGCGAACATTGTTGGAACAGAGTTTCCAAGCGAGCGGTTCCATTGCCATCTTGCTCCATCTCGCTCCATCGTGCGCCATGAACTACCCGGTAGACATGTCCATGTGGGGCTGTGGTGGCTGTGGTGGCTGTGGTGGCAATGCAATGGATCTAGCGATGGCCAATGCCAACTGGTTTGGCTTGAACGGATGGAACTGGAATTGTTGGAATGCGAGTGCACCGTGTGCAGCAACACCGTGTGCAACACCGTGTTCACTTGGAATGCAAGGTGGGTTTACTAGTAGCGATGGTTTCCAACCTAATAGCCTCCTTGTTACTAGTAGAATTGCCCTTTGCTACTAGTAGTTGGGCCAGGAGCCCCCTTAGTCGCGTCCTTGCTCCTAGTAGCGATGCCCTTTGTTACTTGTTCCAAAAGACCTTGTGGAGGTGGGTTTTCGTGCAACGCTCTCAGTCCAATGGCAGCGCATGCAGCGCATGGAGCAACACCCGCGACTGAGAGTCGTCCCAGTGGCACCACGTGCAAGGCCGGACCGCGGTTGGAGGCCATCGCTACTAGGAGCAAGGACGCTACTAGGAACATTCTTACTAAGTTTTTCCTACTAGGTACTTTCTGTCTGGCACCACGTGCAAGGCCGGATTTCCGCAACCGCCGCAACCTCAACCGCTGCCAGCGCCTCTCCCGTCTCGACGCGACAGCGACAAAGAGATTTGCCATGCCATCATGTTGGTCCCATCCGATGAGGGCACTGGCTGCCATGCCGTGTACGATCAAGATACCATCAATGAGTTACTTCACCCCGACTGGAAGCGGTTCCTTCAGCTGGCAGAACAAGCACCACAAGGCCTTACTACTATAGGAACAAGAAGCTATTAGTAACAAGTGCATCGCTTCTAGTAACAAGTGC